CAGAATCAGCTGGCGCAGTGACATTTTCGTGCGTCGTTTTTTTTTTTTTTTTCTCGTTCGTCCCAAAAACCCACAGGATGCATGTCAGCTCCATCGGACAGTGTGCGTTATCACCCACTGGAAGTGTATTTGGAGTGTAGCAGCAGTGTAGTGTAACTCTGGTCAGCTGTACTCAGTATACAAAATAACAAAATACTCACAACAGGTTGTTTTGCCTTTCTGTTGTCTATTTCCTGCTAATTTGGATTTTATTCTGTGACTTTTGAGCTTCCATTGCAAGTGAACAAGCAGCGTGATTATAAAGTTCAGATTTTTGCAGGTTTACTCATGTTTCGTAAAGTCAACTATATATCCCTTTATGCTGTGCTGTTACCTTCAGATAGTTAGCAGCTAAACATTCTGTTGTGGTTCACAAAGATAAGGGAAAGGCCATGGGGCTGTTCTGTGTTAATGATAAATTCATAGCCATGAAGTATTTTCTCATCTACACAATCTGATAAACAGTCGGGAGTCCGCGTATGGTGTTTTATTCTGGAATTTATTATATGACATGCGCCTCTGCCGTAATTGACATCCTGTCCAGGATGATCTAGAAAGATTCAAATAAAAGCAGAAAGCAGTTAAAACAGACAGAAAATAAGTGGTAAAAGCAGCAAGTATAAAGTAAAATCTAGGGATGCCTTGGAGTTTTAAAGGAAATTTTAAGCAATAAACCTGAACAAACTAAAATAAAACAACTAAATAAAGACATCAGAGCCTCAAATGGGTGACATCGAAAAACTGTTTAGGATATTAGAGAAAATAAACACAGAATTTGAGGGAAAATACAGCAACTGGATACACAGTAAGAAATAAGACAAAATGAAGTAGTATAAAAGAGTCAATAAGATGACAGCGTGACATGAAAGCAAGTCTACAGACACAGGGGTACAAAAGTGATAGAAAAGACAGAGCTGATTCTACGAGTCTGATTTCCTGAGGCTACAGGAAAAATCACAATTTAGTGTGAGCATAGACTGTGTACAGCATGGATGTTGAGTCAGACATCACCTTCTGGTTTTGAAGACTATCGGCAACAATGTTGACTCACTTTTGAGTGACCTACTCTGAGGCAAAGAGATGCAGCTGAGGCGGGCCCTTAGCCTCCTCGCTACCTCTACAGTGTCAGTCAAAGCAGCTCAGCCTGTAATTTGCCAAACTTGTAACCTTACTTTTTTCTTCTTAAAAAAATCACCACAGAATCCAAATCAATTTTTGTACCGAGTTGGATTTATTGAATGAGTGTGTATGTTCAATCCCCATTTCCAGTGAGGTTGGGATGTTGTGTAAAATGTAAATAAAAAACGGAATACAATGATTTGCAAATCTTTTTTCACTTATAATTCATTGAATACACAGCAAAGACAAGATATTTAATGTTCAAGCTGATACACTTTTTTCTTTTATGCAAATTTTCCCTTTTTGAATACGATGCTGCACCAAAAAGTTTGGACAGGGTCAACAAAAGCCTAGGAAAATTGAGGCTGTTTTGGGTCATTCCCCTGGTGAACAGGTTCATTGATACAGGTGTGTGTTATGTAAAAGCAAGTATGGGGTGCGGTTCACCACTTTGTGATCAACTTCTGATCAACAATTGTCAACCTTGTAGAAATCAGTTATTGACTGATAGCTTGTTTAATGTTTTATTGTTTATTCATCTTTTTTCACAGCTGGAGGTTAACTTTATCAAAGACTGAATTCCTATCAGGTGATCTATTTCCATTGAGCTATACATTTGCTTTTGAGACGTAAACTGAAGAGAGACATTGTTAATGCGCTCAATGGGCTCTATTTTGGTGCCTCGCCGGAGACGTGCCGCAAGCGCAGCGTCAATCAGATCCGCCGCGCTGACAAGGCGTTCCCAAGCACATTTTGGTATTTTGGTGAGCCGCGCAGCCCGGCGTAAGTATCCCCCCTCCCTAACTCAGCTCCTCCCGGCAGCATAAGTCATGGACGGGGAGGAGAGAGGGCGTGGAGTCGGTTTAACACAGCCGAGACCTGTTTTCACCAATCAAATAAGCTCCTCTCCTCTCCTTTAAATCCGCCACCGGCGAGGCGTATTACTATTTTCATGAAGTAGTCAAAGAGATCAAGAGATGTCTTAAGACAGTAATGCCACACGATGGCGACAGAGGGCAGCTGCTCAACAAGTGTCCTCCACACTCTCTCATCTGAGCACAGATGGATTTGGTGTGCGTAATGTTGGACCCACTGGTAAGACAAACACCCTTTTCCACAAATATAGACACTCACATAAAGTTGCATATATTCAAACCTCACGTGACAAAGGTGGGTTGAGCGCACAGATCACAACATAAACTCCAAAAATGGCATTAAAATCAGAACCATCTGTGCGTAAATGACGCATCGCGCTCCGTGGCCTGGCTCTTTCTTTCATAGATGTTGGCATATAAAATAAATTTGGCCCACAAAACTAAATATTATAATATCCGTATGTCGGCTTAAAGTAGATAACGCATCTGAGCACTGAAACAAATCATCTGTTCAGCCGCAGCAGGAAGACGGACAGAGGACACAGAGACGTGTCCAGGTCGAGCTGTGCGAGAAATAAGAGGAAGAAAGAAAAGGAGGGAGACACATTACATATCTTGTTAACTTCATCATGTGTGTTTATTTACTAGATATTTAATTTAATTTGATGCAGTTTCAGCTGTATTGATTCGGTCAGGTTGTGTGCCCAAACGCGTGCCAAACGCGCTCATCAGATCAGATATAGATCAGAATATATCTATATAGATCTAAATGTATGTGCTGACTCAGATTAATAGTTGTTGATCATTATTTATTGCACTGAAATCTACCTGACACTGTGGAAACCTGCCGGTGAGGCATCAGTGACGTATGTCGATACGCCGCCGGTCTACCAAAATACTACTAGACCAGCTGCGTTCCGCCTTGCGCTGAAAGCTGACCAGGTTTGAATCGGCGAGCTTTCAGCGCACGTTACACGCCGGTGGCGAGCACGAAAATGTCACTGCGCCAGCTGATTCTGTCAACACCTCCCCCTGCCACGCCACCACGCCCAGCTTGGCGGATCTCGGCTCGCCTCCGTGCGACTCAGTCCACGAAAATACCAAACTCGCCTTACGCCGGGCTCCGCCAGACGAAAATACAACTGCGCGGGGCTCGCCGCCCTCCGCCGCCTCACCGGCGCGAACGAAAATAGAGCCCAAAGACTTGTTTTCCCTGATAACTAGAAGAGTCCCCTGAAAAACAGTCTTTTGAAATGTCTGGTATTTTCTGGTATCCTCTTTGAAGTTTGCATTACAATTAAAATCACACTGTCTTCACTTTCAAAACAGCAGCATTTTCTTATTTCTTTAAGCTTCACAAACACTTAATGCTCAACATTTCAAATGGAAAAGATTTCCTGCTTCATCACTTTGCTTTTCGCCTCTGTTGTTCTGTAATTGCCTTTGAAAGAGACTATGCTGCAGAACTAATGTGCTGTGCTTGCCTGATACTATTGAAATGTCAAATTGTTTTCTTGAGAAGAGTGTGCCTGCTGGCCAATGATCCTAAAAGACAATTCAGATGAATTGTTCAGTAGGAGCTTCAGGCTTTCTCTTTGGAAAGTGAATTCTGGCTCAGTGAAAAGAAAGAACAGAGTACCCCCTCCCCAAGACAAAGTTCTTTTGAGTCATTAATTTAATCAAACCTCTTGTTTTGTTCTGGTTGTGAAACAGACTAAAGTCAATATGGTTGTCTTTTCTGAGCAACAGGAACAAACAAGATAATTAAAGGAAATTTTTGAGTATTGAGGCAGTAAATCCCTGGCAAACACTGAGCAGCTGTATTCATGCTGTGGTGGGATGTCAGTTCTAACCGTATGAGTAAATTGTTCACAGCAGCACACAGTGAAAACTCATGAATCATGTGTTCCCGCTGTACTGTTGGATCATCAGGCATGGTCAAACGCTCACAAAAATTCCCTTTACACATAGAATACAATCATAACAATAGGTATTAAGAACAATTAAATTTCCCCATGTATCAACAAAAATTAAAAATCCGGAGTCTTTTTAATGTTGTTTTTATTATAGAGTTGTATTGGATAGGTTACAGTGGTTCACGTCCATACAAAGAGATATTTTAAAGTATCATGGAGAGGTGTCCTTCACACTTTGCATTCAACAGGGGGACCTCGAGAATCAGTATTTGGTCCTTTTTTATTTTTAATGTGCACCATCTAAATTGGTACATTTATCCACTTTTATGCTTTCTCATAATTTCTATGCAGATGATATCCAGCTCTTTTGTCTTCCCATTCTCACACTGCTGTGTCTAGGCTCCAATTTCATTATAATGCTTATGGATATTTTTAAATTTTTAGTTCAGCCTGTCCAAAACTGGGAGTAACCCACATTTAAAGCTTTTACTGCAGCGGGGCAACTTCCTGTCTTTGCCCTAACTCACCCCACTTTTTGTAATTTATGGGGTCACACAATTTATTTCCATTTGTGTATCCACTGTGGCTGAACCATGGTCGCCGGCGTTCCAAACACAAAGAGCTATAATCATCAAATTCTGCATGTTGTAGCTGAAGTTCTAAAGGAAGTCGCTATCCCCCCATTCAAATCCCCATTGAGCTTTCAGCCATGTTTGTGGTTGGCTGGTGAATGGAGTGGTGGGTATAGCCTAAGATAATTAAGGTAAGTGATTTAATATGGTTACAAGAAGAAAGCAGAAATGCCCTCCGCAACTTACATTATTTTGAGCGGTTTTCGCACTTTTATGGATATGTAATAAGGTTTGGTTTCTTCTGAACTTAATCATGTTGAATGTAGCTAAGTGATTTGTATTGATGTTGCGCAACACTTTGTTATCAATCCCTGCTTGAGAATGTTTGATAACTAGTTGATGATTTTGATTAATTAAAGTGTTAAATAAAGTACCCCGCAAGAGGTACACCCATTGCTAACTACGAAGAGCCTAATCAGATGGACAACACGGTAACGACGGTAATGGAAACGGACAAAGAGATGAACGCCAGAGCTCCAGGAAAGCAAGCGAAAATCCACCAGCAGTGTGGATGCGGGTGGGAAAAATTTACCACGTTCCTCGGGCTGCAAATCCACCAGGGGAAGCGCAAGTGCGGTCAGAAGCAACCTCGCACTGCCTTAGCAGATGAGACAAGAGGGACCGAAAGCCAGGGCGAAAACCACAGACCCGACGGACCCAACGTTGCAGAAGGCGAAGATGTCACAGAGAAAGGAAGCCCACTGGTGGAGGGTGAGCCCCCACATAAGTACTAAGACCCAGTCACCACCAACCAGAGATGGACAGAGTACTTGACCCCAGTACATGAGTAAGAGTACAATGACTTCCGGTCAAAATTTACTCCGCTACAAGTAAGAGTAGCCAAGTCAATATGTTACTCGAGTAAGAGTAAAAAAGTACTTGCTTTTAAATGTACTTAAGTATTCAAGAGTAAATGCTTTTAAATGTACTTAAAGTAAAAGTAAGCGTGAATTCCTATTTTCAACATGAATTACTGTCATTTTGCAATTTTATTTATAGTACCTTTTAACTCTTGTTTCAGAGAATTAACTCTTTGAAACCACTTGCACTGATGTGCTTGCCTGTAGAACCATTATCTTATACTGTACCAAGCCTGCACAACATCTATAAAAATGGAAATAAAATGAATGGGATCATCAAAGAGGTTTAACTAGAGCGACAGTTTGGCCACAGCCGGGCAAGATTGAAAAATGTCCATACCTCCAGCTGTGCATGCCAGGTATGTATCCAGTTGCTTGGTGGTACTGGTTTCCTGGCTGTGTGCGCGCTTCATGCTGGAAAACAAGTCCTCTTCATCTGAGGTGCTTGAGGAGTCACTCGCCTGCTGAAGAGGTTCATCATAGTCAGGAAGATGTTCCTTGATGTATTAAAGGCCTGAAAGGAACAATCATTATCATTATCATTATCATCATTCATTATTATACCAGTTTTAATTGCATTGGCCATTTTCAGGATGTTACAATCATTTGCTTTTAAGGAATAACTAGGCTAGATCCTAGATTGTGTTTAAAAAAAAAAGTAAAAAAGAGAACCTGACCGAAGGAAAGTGATGTTTTCTCACATAGTTGGAGGACATGGCTCATAACTGAGCATGCGCGAATGTTGCCTCATTCACTTACACCTCGGGCTCCTTCAAGAACAGGTTTTCTGATGCTGCTAGTCTATGTAGTCGAAGTCAAATTCCTTGCCCAAATTAGTGTTACATAAGCTTCTTGCCAATCCCTCCATTTAACCCCAGATTGGCATCCAGTTTGGACAACACAAACTAATAGCCACTAAATCTGCTCTCTGACCATTCAGAGAAAAACGTCAAAATTCTGAAGTCAAACAGGTGGGCAAGGTTACTCAAAAATGTAAGTTCAGTTAACTGTCAAGCCCAGTGCTGCCAGGTGAGCAGTAATTATTGTATTTGTAAGATAGTTTTGCTCGCTGTACGATCAATAATCCCAAAAAAGGCCAGGTATACAATAATTTGACCATTCCAGCTAATCTGATTCTGTTCAGAAGTAACTGAAGTTGGTTTTAATGTTAAACCCTGTTGAATAAATGACTGCCCACTGTAGCGTGCCACAAACTTGGTTGCAATTGGTACCCTCTATCTGGTGCCCCCTGTGTATCACAGTTCAACCAGAGAAAACAAGATCTTAGACCCAAAACATTTTCTCTCACCTTAAACAAAATAAAAGGGATCACAGGGGCCCGGCTTCTTATTGTTGCCGTTCTGGTACCCAGGGAAGAAGAGACCACTTCATGCTGTAGTGCAGGATTTCACGAGTGATACTGGATCAAATGTGTCCACAAGGGGTCTGTTTAGGTCTGTGGATCAGAAGTGAGGACAGACACTCTTGCTAAACCTGTTGCTGGGCTTGTGTTGATCTTTTTGTGAACCTTCCTTGTATCATGACCAGAAAATGTAATTAATTCATTCTTCTGCAAGGTGTTTCACTAATGTGCCTCTGAAATATTAGGAAAGCAGTGTGCTTTTTGATTATAAATTAAAAGTGTTTCAAACAAACAGAGGAGTGCAGATCAACATATTGAGTGAAACGTAAATGAGGTAAAGAAAGTTTCTGAATCCTCTCTGATGTAACAGTGTTTGCATGTTTAGTCTGAACAATGCTACACAAAGCACAACCCACTAATGAGGATGCAGAAATCGCTCCAGATAATAGATTGCTCATGACAACATAATGCATATCAGGCTCATTAAGACGAGGGTAATTTACTGTGTTATCAGCCTCTGCAAGCTTCATCTGCTTTAAAACAGCACATTAACTCATGTCAGCAGAGTGACACACTTTGATTAATGTCTACAAAAAGAGCTGGCCAGCAAATTCGCCAGACAGGAGAGTGAGCGAGTGTCAACAGATTATCAGCTGCTTGTATTGAAAAAGCTGTCAAACTACAGAACTGCAAACAAGATATTAGAAGATTTTGTGAACATATTGATCTACAACCAAAATGATTCAGTGTGTCAGAACTGGAAACAGGCCCAGGAATATGTCAGATAATATATGGGTCATGTTTGTGGGCTTTAAAGTGCTGTGAGGCTGTTTTCAAGAGAAACAAACTTCACTGTGCCTGCACTGAGTATTAAAAACATTTGACTACTGCAGTAACACAAATGAGCTGCCAGAAACGTTTTTATTTTTAACAGCAGCTGTGTAGATCTAATATTTGCCTCAGCGACTGATGTGTTACAAATTATAGGTCTTACTCAGAGGATGACTTCTTTGTTAAGAAAGGCCGTTCTACGCTGGATTTGTGTTACAGTTGTCAGTTAAACCTGGGGCTGTTTTATCCATAAAGACTAAGGTGACCAGATTTCTGTAATGAAATCCGGGGACAATCAGTGCAGCGGCGGGCGGGCAGGTGGGCCGGGGGTGGGGGGGTTGGAAGTAGTACCGAGATGTTGTACTATTTAGTAGCAGCGCATGCCCTTTGTAATAACCCCTGTAAAAACTGTTTTGCAGGACTGCTTACGTTTGCTTCCTACCCATTCGGCCACTGTAATAACCATTGTTCTAGCCTTCATGCAACATTTTTGTTCTCATTCATGAAACGCTTAAATCGGGGACAGTTTGGGAGACAGCTTTTGCCGGGGACAGGTCATCCAATTCGGGGACTGTCCCCAGAAATCAGGGACATCTAGTCACCTTAATAAAGACCCTCCGTTAAGGCACAAATTCACAAGCTACATGTTACATTGTAAAAGCAGATAATGCAATAATAAGTAACAACAAAAAGCTATAATGGGGAGATAGCATGGGAGCAAACAGCCAGCCTAAGACATTTTCTGTAAGGGTATAACTTTAAGGTCATGTTGTGGGTAAAAAACTGTGAACAAAGTAACAACACCAACAACATATGTCTAACTTATTATTGGTGGAAAAGTGGCTGGAACAAGTGTTAAAGGCCAAAAGTGAATGGAGTTTAAATGATGCCAGTATTAGGCAAATAATGAGCTGCAGATCAAGCACAGTCAACAGGTGTCCCAGACTCACATAATTGAAACTGAAAATAATCAGAAAGGTCTCCTCTGAGTTAAACAAGACATTTGATAAGTCATATCCCAAACCTGAAGGATGAAATAAAACATACGTTGGCGTATTGTTTTAATGCCTAAAGAAAATGAGCTACATGGACAAAAAAATTTCAAACAAAGCTATAAACATGTATTTTTAGGGACATTTCAGTTTTTTTACATGGGGGTTAGGACATTTCTTTGGTTTCTGCTGTCAGCTTCAAGAGGACACCAAAGGAGCTGCAATTCTTTTTTGCAGTTTTGCGTTGGCCTAAATTTTCCAGTTTACTAGCCTACTTGGTAAAGCCATGTCTCAGCCTATATCACCACTTTTAAATCGAACACCAGGCTCAAGTGCGATACAGTTAATCAGCATCTTAGCTTTCTGACCTGAGCATGATCTCGAGGGAAAACTAGGTTGCTCTTTGGAAAGAGTGAATATAGGCCTTTTCAAACCAGCTCCTTCACCCTGTTCACTTTTGCACTCCTATAGAGGGTCTGCAACAATGAGTGCAGTCCAAAACCTCTGAGTGCAGAGTGGGAGTGGGTTTTTTTCTACTTACAAGTACCTTATACAACCCCACTTCAAACAGCTAGGACATAAAAAAACAGAAATAAATGATGAACATGATAAAACTATATTTTCATTACTGTCACAAGGTCCTTCCTGATCTGCATAAAGAGATATACAGACCTGTAAGAATGAAACTAAGCTGTAACCAAGTACGGTGATTATCCGACACAGAAAACTGTTGTTATCAAAGCATTTATCCGCTTTTTGATGCTTCAGCTTTTATGCATCAAGTAGACCCTGAATTCACAAGTCAAACTATTCAAACACTTCATTCAACCCCTTTCATTTCCTGGCTGCAGATTAACAAAGCTCCCCTGAGCTTAGACAAGATTAATCATGTAGTTAGTTCAACAAATGAAATGTCAGGTATCAAGTGCACATGCTGTTGTTAACGAGTGATTATCCTGATGAAGGAGATCAGACCTGCAAGAGCTGCCATGAAAATATTCAAAGAGTGAGCAACAAGGTCTTTCTTTTATAATCATCAAACAATCAGCACAAGACAAACACCAATTATGACACATCTCATAATACTTAACTAGGTCATATAATTGACTTTCAGGTGAAATCAGACAAAAACTGTATTTAAGTACTTACAGCTAGTGTAGGGAGGATCTCAGAGGTGCCAGTTTTTGGGAGAAATCTTGAATGAAAACCCACCAGTTTTTCCCTCAGCTCCTCCTCTCCCCTCACTCGCTGCTCCAGCAGGCCCCTAACAGATGCTTGTGCTCGTTCCGACTCCCATGCATTTTACTACAAGACTAGTAAATTGTCATTGTCATCAACAATCACATAAGCAAAGACTTGAACAACTTTTGTGATGACAGAGTCAGCAGTAGTAATGGTGCGTAAAAGAAAACACATAAGATAAAAGTAGGGGTGTGCAAAGCAACTGGTATTTGTATTTGTTGAGGGGGGAAACATGCAGGGTCACCTGGGCTAAACAGAGCTGTAACTCTGAGAAATACTCTCTCTAATGAATGGCAAAATTGTAAAGATGGCCCATATGGCAGCACTCAGGAGAAACAAATGAAATCTTTGAGAAAGAAAATATATGAACTCAGTTTCTCACACAGCCACAAGCAAGCAGTAGATAAAGTTAAAAAAAAAAAAAAGTGAAAAGAGGTTGGAGAGAA